AAGCTCTGAAGCAATACTAACAAATATAGTGACTTTAAGGTTTTTGGTAGGCTATCTCCTGAAAGAATCCCTTCAACTTCACAAACTTAGGAGAATGAAGGAGTCTACAAGTCTGACAACTTTGGTGGAAATGCCAAGTCTGACCTACTTTGATTGGTGGAAATGCCAAGTCTGACCTACTTTGATTGGTGGAAATGCCAAGTCTGACCTACTTTGATTGGTGGAAATGCCAAGTCTGACCTACTTTGATTGGCGGAAATGCCAAGTCTGAGCTACCGGTACTTTGATTGGTGGAAATGCCAAGTCTGACCTACTTTGATTGGTGGAAATTCCGTACACATTATGCAACATCATGTCATTCATATGCAATTTTGAATAACTACATACATGTACCATCGATGACAGGTCTGATTGGCTTATCAGTCAAGTTGGACTTACTGACTGGTGACACATGTACAATCTTGGACACTGACACCATCGACGCTGTCATGGAAAAGCTATAAAATGAGGGCGTTATATGTGAGTGGCCGAGCGCAACGACCGTGTATGTGGGATGGCTGACTTGGGAAGAGCAATGTAAGTCTGAATTGATTCAAATCAAGGCAGCATACTGCAATTAATCATCTCTCTATCACTGGCAACTACCGAGCATCATACTGTTAGAAAACCAACAGGACTTTTGAGTTGTCACACTGCTTTGGGTGCCCACAATAACAACCATACATGTACATGTATACAAAGCACAAGTACATTGAATTGTAAATGAAAACATTTCAGACTAATTGGAAAGAAAATACCAACTTACAAAATTGTCCATGCAATCAAAGGAAATTACCTTTTTTGTTGTTTTTCTTTTCCGTACATTTTATTAGTGCATAAAAACAGCACTTCTGCATTTAGCTATGGCTTGCTGTAGTTTCCTTCACTAGACTTGTACTGTTACCCATGGATTACTGTGGGCCTGGGTGATAGAAAACAGCAGCTGCCCCCATACCAGTGCCAACACACATAGACACAACACCATACGCTCTGTAAAGGCAAGGAAATATTTCAAAATCAATATTAACTGACAGTTTGATGCTGTACACAGGGAGCAACTCCACAAGTTGTGACCATGTGTAACAAACCCGGTCAAAGTAGAAATACATTTCATTTGTCTGAAGATACCTCGTTGGTGTTCAAAATTCTGAAGTACTGCAGTCTTCATACCCATATAGTGGTTAGGTACATGTACAATATCTGTCCCTTTGTACATGGACATCAATCAGTTGGATATTCCTCAACATCCATACCGTAAAAATGCACAATAAAAACAATGTTGGTGAACTACACAACTACTGTAACATATCCTTTTATTTATCTCATTAAAATGCACCCATCAACATTTCATTGGATTTTGTCCTTTTTTATTGATATTTGACAAGCACCATACATTCACTGCTGCCTGAGAGAAAGAACTAAAGTACAAATACTGCAATGGCTACCACAACCCACGCCTTGTGATAGAATGTGTGCCCGAAAAAGGGAGAAAATGATTGCATTTGCCTTACCGTCTGCCCCTGCGTTTGAGTTCATGGAGAAGTGTTGCCACCTGGCGTGCGCCTGTACACCCCAAGGGATGTCCTAGGGCTATGGCTCCTCCCAGGGGATTGACCTTTTCCATGGGAATACCCAACTTCTTCACACAGTAAGTAGCCTGTCAAGAAGAAAGGATTATCACAGTCATGTACACAAATATTCTAGATTAAAAAAAATCAAACTGTACGAGAAGTTTTAGCAGGCTATCAGTCTAGAGGCCAGGGCAGTAGCTCATCTCAAAGCCTAATTGCAGTTTGATACTCATTTACCAAAATAAGTTTTATGATTTCTTAAAAGATAATTTTTGAAATTACATTTTTTTCTTCTTCTGTAACAACCATTTTTTGTAATAAAATAATAAAACAAGTAGCATATTGAGCACAAACACTAAAATCAGCTGAAACTCAACAAATGAATACACTGCCTCTTTGATTTCACAAAACATGATTTCAATATGCTCTCAGGCAATTGGCCGAACTAGAAAGAAAAAAATATTTCTGTGTATATTATTAAAAGAAAACCTGAAGGATTCTGTACGAAGATTTATTTCTAAAACAAGATAAGCACCATTTTAGTCCTATGAAGTTCACTCTCTCATGGTTACCTCCAACCAGTTTAACCTCTTGCTGCTGGGGAACCGCGTTTTGAGCACCCTGGGTTTATACGCAGAGCCAGGGTGCCCGAAATGCGACAAAAGAGTTGGTCCATGTAACAAACGACAATACTCGGAACAAAAGACCTGCGGCTGGGAATTGCCATCATTTTTCAGCTTGCATTTTTCGAAGGTAATCCGTCACTGTTTTTAAACAGTATAACACTGTTTTGGGCATAGCGTGCCGGCGGATTAGCACCGTGGAAAAAAGTGTTCCAGGGCCCCATTGATGAGCGACACAGCACCGCTGCATGCTAATCCAGCCGTGTTTGAAAAGACGCATTCACTGGAGACAAAGGAAATTAGGCAACACCTCACAATTCTGGGCTCTCTTTACAGGGCCGCAGGCCTGGCTGAAATGTTCAGCAGTCAATGAAGGTTGCCTGTCAGCTTAGGTAGCCACCAAACGGTCATACATGTGGGTGTAAACGTTCATTAAAAGAAATGATGAATTTTTGAAGAATTTTGAAAAATGAACATCTTGAAAATCGCCCGTATGTGTGTACTGCATTTTTAAAAGCAACCAGCAGAAAGTGGTTAAAGGGGTTTTACTTAGTAAAAATAACTCAATGAGTCAGATCAGTAAAACACAACATTTAAGGAGACCTGGTACACTCTCTTTGTTTTTAACTAATCAATAAATGTGGAAATATTGCTCAATATTTCGATGCTCTAAATTTCATTTTGGAATGAAACCTTCATGTGTTTTTTGGCATCTGAGAATTGTTTCCAATTCACAGAAAAGGAATTTTTAGTTTCAATTTTTGGGATCAGTCTGTGCCAAACCTCACTGTAGCTATCAGTCGACTGACTCCGAATAAAATACTAATTCTTTCAAATACCTCTATGCACTATACAAATTCTTCAAATTGCCCAGCTCAACATCATTAAAATTAAAAACAGTCTCTACTCCTTTTTCTTGGTCCCAATTTTCATAAGTTGTTACAGAGTACTTCAAAAAGCAACATAACAAAAAGATTACACAAGATAGGCAATTCATGTACAGGATCCTCCTATTGAGAGAATGTTTTTTAAAAAATCTTTCCACTTCTCTAACCTGACTGGCAAATGCCTCATTGATCTCAAAGACATCAATGTCATCCACTGACAGACCAGCTTTCTTCAATGCCTCTGGTATGGCATAGGCAGGTCCAATTCCCATCACAGCTGGTGGTACACCTACAACGGCAAATGACACCAGCCAGCCAAGGATTGGTAGTCCAGCTCTCTCAGCTGTAGAACGCTTTGCAACTAGTATCGCTGCAGCTCCATCACTAACCTGACTGGAATTCCCTGTCAGCAGAACAAGAAGACTCTTATAACCTTTCATCATATGTTACATTTGTGACCCACTCTGCTAAAATGAGTCTCAAGTCACCAGAGCCACTTTGGAGTTTTACTTTGTATTTATAGCCGGAGGTATTTGAGGGTTTTGTTTCAAAGATCCTTTCAAAAGCCTGTCATGAAAAAGTGACTCTGGCGACAAGTGACTCATTTTGGCAGAGGGGATCACATTTGTGCATATTTTGTCACCTTCCACATTACTGCACCATGCTGGAATTACTTGTAATTCAATTTAATTCAATTATCTAAGATCCACAATCCAAAGGACAATAATTTACAAATAGATCAACAACATTGAAAACTATAAGAATTTAAAAGGTACAAAACTAAAAACCTTAAAACTTACAAAATGAAAAGAATAACAATACAATAATTGTAAGATTACAAAGTAACAATGGTGACATAAGAGCTAGATAAAAATCCAGTAAAAAAGAAATTAAATGTACATCTGTTTTAAATTTGGAACAAAAAAATACAAGGAGGTTTTTATTATGGAAGGATAAATTCGGCAACATTATAAGTATAATTAATATAATTTCAATAAACAGTAAAACTGCATACCAAAAAGTAAACAAAAACCACATAAATCTAAGATTTATCATTGAGGATGCAAACAAGACATGGAAGGGCACTATTTTCATACATTATTAATGTTCTCTTATTAAGCCGTAAATAAGTCTTCACACTAAGTTCCGTCGATCATAGATAATTGCCGATATTGATATATCAGTGACCCAACATTGATAATACCGACATATCGAATTTTTACAAAGAATGTTTTCAAGCTCAAAACCAAAGGCGTGATGCCGAACACCTTTTGCAGTTAGGCGGCTTAGGCCCCTACCAATTGGTTCTAACCGTGCAGCACGCAATAAGTCTGCGGGAGCGAACTTTTTTAATCTTTCCCAAACAAAAGAGCACCTGACACCAACAACCTGCAATCAGAACGATATATTCGAATGCAAAGGCATGCATACTCTGACCAGTCCACGATCTGAGTAGCCGGCTTCATTGACGATGTGCTTCATTTAAATATAAATTTTACTTGCCCAAACCCTGGTTAAGTTGCTCATTCCTCCTTCAACCAATCACCATCGATGATATTGCTATGCCACAATACTACATGAATATACATCACCCCCAACTATTGCATGTATGCAGAGATTGCGCAGGAATCTGATGCATCATACATACAAGTTTGAGCAGCGGCTATTTCTCAACAACTCGACGATTTTTGCCTGGTGTCAATGCAAAATGCATGCAGACAAGTACCAGGCAAAATTCACTAGTGTTGAAGTCACAACCACATGTAAAACAGTCTTCGAACTTCTGGCCATCAAAGTTCTGCTGCACTCGCACATGCAGTAACCAATAAGGTTTGGTACCCAGACACAAGGGTATTTTACAGTCTGTGTACGCATTTTCCCTTGTGTGGAAGGGTGCCCTGCTAAATGTACCGTGTGCTTATTAGACGCGAATTTGTACATGTACAAGTAACGATGGAAGGAATCATTGAACACCACTTAGCCATTTACTTTTTACCACTTTTATAAGATTTGTGAAAAGGAAATGGCAAATCAAAAGTGCTTAATGTGAAAAAAAATGCAAAGTTATGCAAATTACTCGCAACAGATCTACCTGTTGTCTGTCTTCACTTTATTGGTCTGGAAGCCTTGGAAGTTGTAAAGCAACACAAGTATCTTGGCATGACAATCTCTAGTGACTTGTCTTGGAATTCCCACATTTCAAATGTTGTAATCAGAGCTTCTAGGATTTTTGGATTTATTAGACGAACACTTTGCTCTCAAGACTCAGTCTCTCTAAGTTTGCCTTTTACTGCCCTTTGTAGCCCTATCGTAGAGTATGCCATTCCTGAGTGGATTCCCTATCAATCCAGTCTTGTCAATGCCCTAGAAAATGTACAAAGGATATTCACTAGAGCTTGTTTCAGTTACAATAGAGATCTTAGTGACCCAGCATGCCTTCAATTCTTAATCTCCCAACCATTGCTGACCACCACAAATACCAGCCGTTTACTTTTATTTTACATTGTTTGCACAAACACAATGACACTGACCCTTGTCTCCTTTTTGAAATAAACACCCAGTACCTTGGTGGTGTGGTAACTGATATAAATGTATTCAACGAATGTATTTATACATATACATGTATATATATTTTTTCTCTCTCTCTTTTTGTCAGTTTTTCTATTGTTCCTTAATTATTTGTGTGTGAGATTTGTCTGTTTGGATAGCTCCTTGTATAGTGATTTATTTTGCTTTTGAGTAATCCACGGCTTGTTCTCTATTTGTAATGTAATCTTCTATATCTTGTGCTCTATGAATTTTTATCTGTATTGCCCGAAAATAAATGAATAAAGGTAGATTTGCTGACTGCTAATCTTGGCTACAAAAAACTGACTTTTATTTCAAGACAAGACATTGTCTGTAGCGACAACTACTTTATAATTATTTTCATGAGATCAGTGCCTCTGATACATCGATTTCAATGTTAAAGTGATATCGTTCATATTGATATCAAAGCAGAATCGATATATCAGATATTATCATTATATCAAGGGACCTTACTTCACACTAACGTTTTGGAAGTGAGGGTGGAAAGCTAAAGTTTTTGACATTTATTAATCCTTGTTATAGTAGTAGTCTGCAATAGTACATGTATGTTACCAAGTTTAAGACAAGAATTCTCAATTGCTTTCACATACCTGCTGTTGTTGTGCCACCTTTCTTAAATGCAGGTCTCAATTTGGCAAGTCCTGCCAATGTAGTCTGTGGACGGATGCCATCATCTTCAGTCACCTGACCATATGTGATAAAAGACATTATCCTAGGATGTTTACAGGTGCACTAAAGAATGGACGAATTGCTTGAATCTGTTTTTTTCTCAATGCTGATGTGAGTGCCAACAGTTGTACAGCAGAGGTACAAAATACGCATTAACAAGAACTCCTACCACTGAGTGGGGAAAGATGACCACTGCTGCTTTATCTCTCTTGAGCCAATTATAATTTTGCTAATTTCATATTTCATGAAGTTCAAATCTAGCAAAGTAACAATTTGGAGGAAATGATTGAAAAATATTGACAGAATTAAAATATTTCAAAATAAAAGTGCATCTCTGATACTGACCAAAACCTCTTCAGAACTCCCAACCCCATCCCTCCATTTGCCGGTGTTCCCAGATCAGTTTTGATTTACCGTTATTTCTCTTCAGAACTCCCAACCCCATCCCTCAATTCGCCGGTGTTCCCAGATCAGTTTTGATTTACCGTTATTTCTCTTTCATTCCCATCGTTGTCTTCAACCTTTGTTGTGACTGGCAAGATCTCATCCTTGAACAAGCCTTGAGCCTTGGCTCGTGCTGCCCTACATAGAACAGACATAAATTCCATACTCGTGTCAATGTATGGATATTGATACATCTACATAGGCTCTTGTCTTTTGATGGGATTTAACTAGAAAAACAAGGTTTACTAAACAAAGATACACACACTGTAGAAAGTGGATACACACACAAAAACATCACTGTGTACAAATATTCCAACCTCTAAACCAGGGTAAGGTGTCATTATGCCAGAATCAGACAGATCACCTTGAGTGATTTTAAACTGGTGATTGGAATCTCCATGACATGTACATACCTTGTTTGAGGAATTAACCCCAAGATATAAGTGACTCTGATTCCCTTGGAGTTGAGGTGCTGTATTTCACAAAATATGTCTCAATGATACAACGTATCATTTAGTTTGTCATGTGTTGAAACCCTATCACATATCACACACTCCTCCCCCAAAATGAAGAGATTCTACGTTTTGAAACACTCAAATTACATCCTTCTTTGGAAGACACTTTTGACAATAACTAACAAGAACAGATTGAACACATATATTTTATTCACTTCATTTGTGAGTCATAGCCCATCTGGTCCTGTTGTTCCCGAGTGATTCCAAACTGCTCAGCCACATTTTCTGAAGTTATTCTGAAATCAAAATGATAAGAGTTACTTTACACATGCCATTTTTGGCAACTGCTTTTCAGGGATTTTGTCGGCTCTCAAGTTGGAATATTTCTGAGTGACATCACATAATTATCAATCTGGTCCTCAACAATGGATAAAGCTATACCACATACAAACTACACATTGTTGCATTAATGTGAGTTTCCCTAACATACATGTAAACTCCAACATAGGTCATTCTGTACCTTCCAGCTTCACAGAATGATATGTACATGTACATGTAGGTGTAGATCAAATTCCAGTCATCTCCAATTTACGTCCCTGTATATTCATTCTTATGTCAGTTCTATATCCATTCATCTAACTATTTTGATGCTTTCTAAACGTCCACGCTTAGAGATTGGATATGAGCCAGGGAGGTGGTGGAAGACAGTGTTGTGGTCAAGCCCTCTGAAATCCTTTGAAAATAACCACAAATAATCTAGTTTCAAGTCAAGTACAAACTGAATTGTGAGCAAGGCATTGTTTCTCCCTCGCTCCTATAACCAGGATTGTATACATTTGACTTAAGATTTAACTTGTGATGGACTTGAGTATGGCCCTGGAGGAAGATGGATTCATGGATTGAGCCTCTTACCCCATAGGAATAAGGCAGTCCCTTGCCTCAGCATAGTCAAACAGTTTAGGGTTAAGGTCCTTGGCTGCTCCAGATTGCTCCATTCTGGACATTGACTCAACTCTGTGAGAGGAGAAACCAAATTTTTACCTGTTCAGCTCAAAAGAACAGTATTTGTGCAGGTAGTGCTAAAGGTATATTGCATGTCCAAAACACTATCCACACACTTGCTAGCTACAATGCATCATTTGTTACAACTCCATTTAATTTCCGACACTTGCTAGCTACAATACATCATTTGTTACAACTCACATCGAATTTACAACTTCAACCATAAAGGAGTCGGGGGATCCCTTGACATTTTTGCAATATTGTTGTGTTAATGTTTTCATGTGCCAAGCCTTCAAGAGTTTTTTAGTAACATCTTGTGGTCATTTTGACACAAAATTTGGTACAAATACGTTCTTACAGTCACACAGTACCAAGGTTTCTGAGACAGGCCTAGGTCAGGAGTAAACTTTTAAATTATTGTGTCTGCTGCACATAGGCCAGCTGGCACGTGACCTTAAACTTCAAAGGACCATAACAGCAAACCATCATTTGGATTGACAGGGGTGAGACTGACCAATGAAAAGATAGCTGGAAACAGCTGAATAAAGGCATAAAGAAGCTGAACGGTGAAAATCTCCTATACTTTTGTACACAGTCAGTGAGAAAAAAACCTGAAATCCAAAACAAAAAAGCTGAAATCCAAAACAAAAAAGATGAAATCCAAAAACAAAAAGCTGAAATCCAAAACAAAAATGATGAAATCCAAAACAAAAAAAGATGAAATCCAAAACCAAAAAGACGAAATCCAAAACAAAAAAGATGAAATCCTAAACAAAAAAAGATGAAATCCAAAAACAAAAAAGATGAAATCCAAAACAAAAAAGATGAAATCCAAAACAAAAAAGATGAAATCCAAAACAAAAAAGATGAAATCCAAAACAAAAAAAGATGAAATCCAAAACAAAAAAGATGAAATGCAAAACAAAAAAAGATGAAATCCAAAACAAAAAAAGCTAAAATCCAAAACAAAAAAGATGAAATCCAAAACAAAAAAAGCTGAAATCCAAAACAAAAAAGATGAAATCCAAAAACAAAAAAGATGAAATCCAAAAACAAAAAAGATGAAATCCAAAACAAAAAAGATGAAATCCAAAACAAAAAAAGCTGAAATTCAAAAACAAAAAAATTGAATCCAAAACAAAAAAGATGAAATCCAAAAACAAAAAAGATGAAATCCAAAACAAAAAAGATGAAATCCAAAACAAAAAAAGCTGAAATCCAAAAACAAAAAAATTGAATCCAAAACAAAAAAGATGAAATCCAAAAACAAAAAGATGAAATCCAAAACAAAAAAAGCCGAAATCCAAAAACAAAAAAAGCTGAAATCCAAAAACAAAAAAGTTGAAATCCAAAACAAAAAAGATGAAATCCAAAAACAAAAAGATGAAATCCAAAACAAAAAAAGCCGAAATCCAAAAACAAAAAAAGCGGAAATCCAAAAACAAAAAAGTTGAAATCCAAAACAAAAAAGATGAAATCCAAAAACAAAAAGATGAAATCCAAAACAAAAAAAGCTGAAATCCAAAAACAAAAAAAGCTGAAATCCAAAAACAAAAAAGTTGAAATCCAAAACAAAAAAAGATGAAGTCCAAAACAAAAAAAGATGAAATCCAAAACAAAAAAGATGAAATCCAAAAACAAAAAAAGCTGAAATCCAAAAACAAAAAAGATAAAATCCAAAAACAAAAAAGTTGAAATCCAAAACAAAAAAGATTAAATCCAAAACAAAAAAAGATGAAATCCAAAACAAAAAAAGATGAAATCCAAAAACAAAAAAAGCTGAAATCCAAAAACAAAAAGGATGAAATCCAAAACAAAAAAGATGAAATGCAAAACAAAAAAAGATGAAATCCAAAACAAAAAAAGATGAAATCCAAAACAAAAAAGATGAAATCCAAAACAAAAAAGATGAAATCCAAAACAAAAAAAGATGAAATCCAAAACAAAAAAGCTGAAATCCAAAACAAAAAAGATGAAATCCAAAACAAAAAAAGATGAAATCCAAAACAAAAAAGATGAAATCCAATACAAAAAAAGCTCAAATCTAAAACAAAAAAGCTCAAATCCAAAACAAAACAAAAAGCTCAAATCAGCTGAAAAGCTGAGAAATCTCTTAAAATGCCACACATGTATTTGTACTGGTAATGAATGTCTTTACGTGCATGCCACGTTCTAAAATATTAGGCATGGAAATCTTCTCCCCTTCAGTTAGTCTCAATGAACCTGTCTCAATTTCAGCCTACATGTACATTAGCATACATTCAGCAATTTCCACAGTGACCTGGACCAGATCCTGTACAATAAATGGGGACAGGATAATTTGTGACCAGTCAAAATGAGCCGAAAGTCAGCATTTTCAAAATTGAGATATTGATATTTTTAATTCAGCAGAAAAAAGAGCTTTCCAGTGGTACAGTATGTACAGGGAACATTTAGGGTAAAAGTTAGTGACATTATTCTGGCAGCTTTCTTTGTTCTACACATTGTTTCAACATTTCAGACCAGGCACAAACAATGCTGGTGTCAACACTGCTGAGAAAATGACATTTTAAATAGATGATCCTGCAAAATACACATATGTATTTGGAATTTAATACGAGATGGGTTGCTCTTTCCAAATATTACAAAACTCAAAAACTGTCCACTCCAACATGACTTTGAACATTCAAAATAGGAAAGAGCAGGATGCGATTTTACTTTCATTTTGTCAATGTGACAGGTTACATTTAGCAATGAATTTCAAACCATATCAGGTCAATGTATAATTACTGTTTTCTGCTAGACATTTTATTATTTCATTACCTCCATGCTTCATGTTAAGGTTAACTCAGCTAGGAAGGTAGATGATCCCATGGACTTTTAAAAGCTTCCTACTCAATGTTTTGACAAATACACACCCAGAGGCGATTCCAATATCGTATACTCCATTCTTAATGCCTCCTGCAATATTCATGAAAGCCTGGAGACCAGAGGCACACTGACGGTTGACTGTGTTGAGGGGTACTGCTGAAGGAATTCCACTACAACCAAAGTAAACAAAAGAATTTCTTGGTACCAGCTTCATCAAGAAGCTCACCTGCAAGACTCAATACTAATCTTCACCACAATGCTTACTCCTCCATCTTCATGACAAATAAACTGTGATTTCATCACCATGATCAGTATTACCAACGTTATTTTTACCGATCACAAAACTGCCCTTTCCCAGCCCTCTGCAGACCTCGCTCTTGCCATTTCACATTGGAATATGTTGCTAGTTTGGTAGGAAAGCAAAACAATTCACTGTCAAGGTGTACCATGCAGGTTTTAAAGGGAATGAAGAGTTCTTTTTTTAACGGTAGATATTTCCAAGATGGCAGATAAATGTGTGTATTTTGCTGATATTTTTCATCCAAAGAAATTGTTACCTTATAGATTTCAACTTGTGTATATTGCTGAATATTTTGATAGCAGCAAAAGTACCACAGAATTATTTGCAACAATGCAAATTTAAGAAAATAAAAATCTGGTAGTGGTGGGGGAAAAAGGAAGTGAATAGAGACCAGAAACTTTCGCTGCACACAAAAGTGAAGGTAATAATGTTGGAGAACAAGAGAAGGGTCTATACAAGCCAACACCAAATTTCTAACATTATAAATCATCTTCATGATTATCATTAATGAGTGCAACAAGTCTACGTGCATGTATACTAATGGCACTATTCTATCCTTCATTGATTACCTTATGAATGAAGTCATTTAAACGATACATGCTCTGTAAAATACATAAACATGCAAGGGCATACAGGTAGATTGGCATGAGGGTTAACAATCGCACTAAGCTGTACCATCACATTCATAACTGACTACTGCCGGTCATCATATGCTTGTCTTCCTCTTTACAATTTCATAACTCCTCTATAAATGTTCTCCAACCTGAGAAGCTGACCAATCCTGGCCAGGACTTGCCCGCCTCCAGGAGCAAGACAATTTCCAACCACAATGTCTCCAATGTCTGTAGGAGCAATGTGTGTTTCCTCTATGGCAGCCTTGAATACAGCTGTCAAAAGTTCATCAGCCTTAGTATCCTGTAAAATAAAAGAACAAAATTACATGGGGTCAGTTACATGTAAAATTAGATCTTGGGTATACTTTGCTGACTAGTATTCTACATTTTCTGAAAGTGTGGATACTTTCTCTGATAAAGCATATTTTCCCAGATAAATGTTTCACTTCATCCATGGTTCCACTGACTTACACACAAAAAGTGATGATTTTGAGTTTGTGTGCAGTACATGTGTGTACTGTGTATAACACAGCTACGTGTATGTACGCTGTGATGCCTAAAATATGTTTTTGTGTATGCACGCTGTGATGCCTAAAATATGTTTTTGCGTTGATAATGTTAATTTGTCAAAGCATCTACATAACTAATGATGACATTCTGCATATTAGCATATTGTATGTGAAAGAATCTTCCAGAGGCTATGTAATTCTGATCAGGAATGTTTATTTTGTCCTCTTCCATAAACAAGTATCATACGTTGGGCCCCCTCCTACCAATTTTTTTTTCACTTTGATTGATGTAAACCTACATGTATGACTGTGAACTGATCTTAATTGTTTTTTTTCTACAAATTTACAGAGACAGCACTAAACTTTCATAATGAGTGTTTTTCAGGACTTACTAAGATTTTGCAGTTAACAAATCTTCATGTCCTTCACTCACACTGTCATTGTGAATTGCTACCAGGGTATTTATTTACAAGAGTGAAATCAGACCAAGTGCAAGTTTGAAATTTATTTCCCATTAAGAAATTATCCGGAGCCATGAATAAAAAAAGAAAGTGATGTACATGTACATGTATCCTGCCCTTTGTTTCAATTACGTTCAATTTAAAACAATAAGAGAGATAATATTGTGACATTTTGGTTTTTAAAAAAGAAAAAACCGATCAGACAACCATTTTATGTCCCTGTTACTATTGAGGGCACTGTTGCTCTATGTCAATCAGGGAAGAGGCTGATCATTTTATACATTTTTGTACAGAAACAGTGAAACTACATTTTTCATTGAAAACATTTTTGAGACAAGGATAATCATTGCTTTGTTGCCCTTACACAACAATGTTCACTTAAATCAGCAAAAATTTAGGCTGGGAAATATGAAAAACTCTAGCATTTTTGGAGCACACATCCATGTTACCAGTACATGATGGTTTTCTTCCTGGGATGAAAGGACACTTTTGCTCATGAACTTGAAAATATTCATTCCCATCAAAATAAAAAAGGCACTGAAATATCCTAAATACCAGCAGCCCCCCCCCCTAAAAATAACAATGAGGCTCACAGACCTAAACCATAACGACATCACACTTTGTCTACATGTCTGCTTTCCTATGGTACATGCAGCTTAATTGGAAAGTGCATATGGTGTACATGTGTACATGCAAATGTACCATATATTGAAAAACAAAAGTGCATTTTCATTATATAAAAAAGCCTTGTTTGCAAAAACCCATTCAGTCAGAAACCGATGGTGCCAGTGCAGGTCTGGGAAAAAATAAGGTGCAACCAGTTCACCGCCAAATAAAAAATAAAATGAACTAAAAACTAGTTTATCATAGGTACGTGAAGGCCTAACAAATAATATACATGAAGGAGAGAATTCCACACCTCCAATTTTCCCTGCAGTGACCACTAAGCCATCTGAAAGCAATCAAGTGTCCTTAAACTTTATATTTAGCAGAGGAAACATTGAGGAAATTACTTAGGTTCTTGCACAGGGCGTATATCTCTTTCCCAAGCTAACGTTAGAGTCTGACCTTGAAAGAGCCCCGCTTGGCTTTACCGATAGGCGTCCGTTTGGCCCAAACCACCACCACGTCGTCCTCCCTGGGAGCACGGGCTGGAATCCTCAGCGAACCCATCGCTCCACTTGCTCCCCCCAGCGCAGCTGTCTCTCTCTGGGCAATCTTCGCTTGTGTCGTATGCAGCTGTGGAACAGCTAAATGGCCGGTAATTGTTTGCAGCCGATTCATTTTGGATGTCTTCGTGGCAGTGTTTGGGATGACAATGTTCAACTCTCTCAAAACCCGTCCCTTTTATTTTCAATTATAAAAATGGGTAAAAGTTCGGCTACGTTGTCCTGCTTATCTCAATGGATCAGCGACGTCGACCTTTACCTACTCTCTTGTTGCACGTTACCCCGAGACTAGTTTCCTCTGTTCAAACTCATCAAATACTGCATCAACGCGAGCGAGGTAACAGCCTAAAGTACGAGGGCCGGTGCTTGTGGCATTTGCAGCAAGGTACTAGGTATGAGACGGAGAGAACCCCCCCCCCTGCTTTGTGTTGGTCATTGTCTAGCAGGAATCTGGGGAATTCCTTTCAGACATCTTGGGGGGATGTTTTAAGTAACAATAGTCTGGAATGTGTATAGGGATTGGACATGTTGGGGGGGTACCCCTCGGTCTCATTCCTTGCCGGGTATGCACTATACTGTAGCTTGTGGAGCCGGTGGTGTTAGGTTTTTTTCCTAGAGTTGCATTTTATATCCAACTCTGGTTTTTCCCCATAATTCTCTTGTCAAGAGAGCTTTCCACACAAGCTCCTCCTATAAACGCAGGAGATTGTTAGACTTCGCTCGTCGCCCAGCAGGCCAGTGCTGGGCCCTCCCCTGTGTTGGCGCCGGGCGACAATGCATCACCAGAAAAACTTGAAGGACAGGGTAGCACTGATCATCATGGATTTATACCGTGCACTGATAATGAGAATGCAATGGGGGAAAACAAAAATGGAAACAGTGCTCACAAGAAAATGTTTGGTGCTTTTGTTTCAGTGTTTTTGATAGAGAATAGCAGCCACCGGCGCCGTGGGTGCAGCCAGAATCAACAGTTCCCATAAAAATTTGTTCACTCCATTTATACATGTATAATCCCTCGGAGCAGCCACGCCCACAAAGTAGGACTTTTCTCCACGCGGAGACTTTTGTCACCGGGCCAGTTCCTATGGTATTCTATAGCCGCCAAAATTGCGTCGCGTCGTCCCAACGCCATGACGCAACACTACGACAGCTCTGTCGCGTCGTCCCATCGCGTCGTGGCGTCGCCTCCTTTTTCGTTACTTTTATGCTGTGTTTAATGCATTGCGTCGTGCCGTCTGGCCGTCGCGTCATGTTGTTTCGTGTGCCGTCCCTTCGTGCCGGCTCGTCTTGCCACCGTATCGTGCCATCGGGACGTCACGTCTTGCCGTCGTCACGTCGCGTCGCCTGTCATGGTATGGCTTTATATAGTGTGGGTTAGGCTGTCGCGTCGTACCGTGTCGTCATCCGTTGTATCGTGCCGTCGTGCCTTACCTTTTCTAAAAATGGCTGCTGATTACTAAGGCCAATAGAGGACTTAGGCTATGTCACAGGTCCTGGAAAAAAATAATATGTGTGCCTAGGTTTGCACTACACCAAACATTAATAGGCCCTAGTTCCAGTTCGGGATATTTCTTTCACAAAAAGCCTCAAGTAAATTACGGGCCTATTTTGGATAGAAGCGGGCGGCTACATTCAGAACTGAGCGCAGTTTTACCACTATATTAGGAGTATCTTCGGGGAAAGGTGAATAAAAAAATTCACGTGGCTAACCCCCATAACATTGAAAAGAAAAGTAACCTTCTGGCCGTAAGCTTGAATCAAAGTTTCCAGTGACAAAACGGAGGTCAACCTCTTCCAGAGAGTCAACAGGCGGCGCTATTTCGATCTGATTTTGCACTGTTTTGTATGGGCGCGTATTTGGTGTACTGCAACCCTTTGCACGTACATGATGGCCGAGTTCGGGTGGCTTGTTCCCGAATGTTCACGAACAGCTCGATTTGTTGTTCGTGGGTCGGCCGCTCGAACGCCGGGAACAAACAACCGGTTATCACAAGCAACATGGCGGCGTCCATGTACGATATTCGAGACTTAAGGTTTGGATGGGCTGAATTCTTTTCTATATAAACAGGAACATTCATTTCTGTGTTACAGGAAATAATTAATGATAATTTTGCAAAACTTCCTATGGTCTATGGCTTTGGAAGCCATCTCTCTACTTTTGCAGCTGTTCAAAAATCAAAATCTCACGAGTTTTTCCGTGTGTTCGTGTAAAACCCTGACGAGGAGGTGGTGTATGATGCTGTTCCGAGAACAGTGTTCTTGAGTCGTATTCCCACCGTTCGAGCGCGAGAACACGAAACCCGTGTCAAGAACGGACCGCACGGACCGCCCGAACTCGACCAGTAGAAACAGTCGCGTCGTGCCGGCACGTCTTATTTGCCTTGCGTCGTGGCGTCACGTGTGCGTCTTGGCGTCGGGCGACGCCACGGGACGACGCAACGCAATTTGGCGGCTATAGAGCACCGTACGTTTGGGCACAACATTAAAAAGCATTATTGCTTTGTCTATAGTACGGTGGCTATTATTCGCCAATTCGTTGTGCACGATCCTTCTTTCGGCGTTATATCGCCGTAATATGGCATTATAACGCTGTACTAACGCTGCATTCTTGCGTTGCTGAAAATCTACAATGAGACTATCGGCACCATTTTGTAATTTTGATAAGCATTTGATACATCGTCGTGGCAGTTTAGCCAGATTCAGGTCGACAAAAGCTCTGACGAGAGCAACGTGGAGGCCAAAACGTAGATTGAGAAACGGTAAGTATTTATGCAATGGGTGTGGAGTAAGTTACCCTTGTATATAAGCCGTTCATTTATAGCTAACCCTTTAATGTGACGTAATTTACGTGATGACGCTACAGTGACAAGAATAATTGGGACCGTGACCATCGTGGGTACGGGTATTGGTCTATGTGTGTACAATACTTGTAGAAAATCTGAATTCAATCCAGGGCGGACCCAGGGATTTTAGAGGAGGGAGTAAGGCCCGATCATTTTTTTTTCGGGGGGGGGTGAGGGTTGACCCAATCCCAAGAATCCCAAGCGACCCCAAACATGAATCCAAACCCCAATTCTCTCTCCTCACCTATCCTCTGTGTGTGGGGGGGGGTGGGGGTGTGTGTGTGTGTGTCTCCTCCTCTCCCTCTTTGTCTCTCTTGTGCACCATTTTTAACCAATCAGTTTTAGGCCTTTAATTAAATGCATGAACACGCCGTAAATAATAACGGCATTGAGTTTCACCGTATTCTTTTGCAGGTTCCGATCTGCTGCTTCAGGGAAAGAAGATCAGTTTGTTGTCCAAAGTTACATCACAAGACGTCTCATTCCTCACACGAGTGGTTGGGTGCTCAAACTGACTTCAAAAACGTCATGGACTTTCACAGTGAATTAAACAAAGTCCTAGAATGGAATGTGTGGGTCATGCATATCCTTTAAGGTTTAGCCTAGGATGTTTATTTGACCCGTTACATCCATAGATCATAGAGGAAGGACAGGAGGAGTTGCAGCTCTGGCATTCAATGATCATCGCCGCCGTGTTAAACAAATTATAGAAAACATTTCAAAAATACCCAAGTACTGAGTGCATCTTAGCCGGACAAGCAGGGCCAGTAATATCCTTGTAATACTTGTAATGTTTTGCTTGCAATTAAATACTAACTATTGCTGTCACCGAGAAATAAAGAAAAATCCCTGATATTAGACCTACTTTTCCATCGTGAATAACCTTTATTTTTTGATACACTGTTCCATTATCCATGCAAAGTTTGCAATTTCATTCCCCTCCCTCCAATTCATCAGTTTTCAAGACTTGATACGAATTTGGCTAAGACTGACCAACAAAATGTTGACTACTGCTGGAAAGCTAAGTTCATAAGGAACAAAATGCGCTATTTCATCATAGGGAGTAATCATGAAATCTCGTAAAAAGCGCTTTTATACAAGTGCCATAATAGAAATTATTCAAACAAAACACAAAATCTTGTGAACAACGGGGAAATTTATTCCCAAAATAACTCCAAAAGAAAGCGTTCATTAAGGGCAATGGCTCCACATGTACATTTAGGGCACACAGCGTAACACAAGCAACTGCGCAAGCATTAAATTTGATGTTGTTATGAAATTATACCAAGCACCAACAAAGGTATATGAATATTCCATTTCCTATACCTCAGTACACAAAGTTTTAAGGATGCAAAGGTATATGAATATTCCATTTCCTATACCTCAGTACACAAAGTTTTAAGGATGCAGTAAAACAGGCAACTTCAGTTTTAATCTCGATGGATATATAGAGTATGGCCACAAATAAAAGAAAGAAGTGATGGAGATTTTAAAAGGTATAGTGTGACTCCAACGGCAGAGTTTCCCAAGTATCAAGGCAACATCCAAACAATTCCACTTCTTGTACAGTTTAGAGTGGATCATTGTAAAAAGGTGATGGCTGTTGCTGTCCAATTGTCAAACAAATTGCTGAAACTCCACCTAAAGTAAAGAAGGGCACATGTTTGCGGTTATACTGTAAATTTTGAAAAATGAACGCAAAGCCATTCGGCTCGTTAAAAAATATTCATGACGCTTGATAGATATTGCAAATTTAATTAATTTTGAGCCGCAAAGGTGGAAAAGCGTTTCTCCCCGAAATCTGACAGTCTAATCACTTTCAGCGCAGGTTTATTACGAAAAGTTAAAAACAAAGTTAATATGATAATGCATTGCTGCTTTTCATCCAGAGTATTGCAACCAGAACAATAAGATGCCATAATCGATATTCAATAATGAAAATCGATATTTGTTGTAAAATGCTGAGGATGAATCGTTCTGATTTTGTAAGTTTAACTGTTTCTATAAACCCATGTTTATTGAGATGATTACACAAATGAATGACTCTAGCTTATTATCAGCGGTAATTTTTATTTCAATGCTGTAACTTAAAATATCCTACCAAACCAACGTTTGTTGAGATCATTACACGATTACCTTTACAAATTAATGATTGTAGCTTATATATTATCAGCGGTCCATTTTTGGTGTCGACTTTGTAACTTAAGCTTAAAGTTTCTAGGCCTATATAACCAAGGTTTGTTTTGATCATTTGTAGATTTCCGTATGGTAAGTAACTCTAGCCTATTATAATTTTTTATGTGCAAAACGTTTCATTCTAGATTTTTTTTGTTATTGAAGACGAACGAAAAACATCCAAAATTAAAAATGGCAGACCTCAATATTCAATATTGTGTTTTATAAATCTCCGGCAAGAACGAATAATTATGAGAACCATCGAAACTATCACAAAGATGGCTTGAATTGATGTTGATACTTGTACAAAATGTTACTTTTCGAGCTCAGAGTAAAACTATCAGGTCTTGACTGGATGGTGGAGGTTAGCACTTTGACAGGATAGGTCCTTTGGCTTTTTCAAGTAGGTTACTACTAGAAATATTTATTTGTTTCGAAATTGTTTACCTTGTTCCGGTTGTTGACAAATACAGGAAAATGAAAATCCAAATCGGGCTTGTGCAGCATACGCCACAGGTGATTTTATACTGATGATTTGTTTCACTTGATCTTTAACTGTTTATCGTTTACCTTTTCTTTTTCCCTTTTTTTTTCATATAGCCCTATATATCCTCCTATTCTTGTTGAGTATTAAAAGTTCTTTGTTCATTGGCCTTCTTTATTTATCTGAATCTCACAACTGACACTGATCCTCAATTCTGTTTCCTGCCCGAGATTTGTCATGCCAGAGTCCTGCTCTTATGGAAATGGGTCTTTCAGTCCTTTATGTTCAGACGGAACATGAGGTGTTAATTCACAGGATCACGCTAAAGCTCTTTGTAGGTGTCTTCTTAGATGGACAGCCTCTTCTCGAGTATCGGGGGACCTGCGTCCAGTGACTTCCATCAGTAAACATGCATAGTTGAAGAGGTTCTCATCGCAAGGATAGTTGTTTTTGAAGAGGGATTCCTCCTTACACACATTCACTCTATCCTGATCCACTGGTTCCAGGAAGTCCATGGTGTTGTACAACTGCGGAAGTTCAAATATGGTCAGGGGTCAGCCATCTGCTACATGCTCTTGTTTATTGTTCCTAATCCTGTGTCCATCCCACAGTTCCGTCATTTTGTCCAGATCATCCTGTAAAGTAGAAGTAACTTTGAATAAACAAATCATTTGAATCTTTCGAGCCGAAGAAAAGTTGTCGAATTCTTTAACATTCATAAGAGAAATGACTTGGATTGACATTTACATCGAAACATGGATTGACCAATAATGATCATGTTGGTAAACCATCCTATAGGCCTATGTATTACATGATAACCTCAAATGAAGACAGCCGTTTATACGCAGGCCTACCTGCATGTATCATTCTCAAGAATGTGAATCGAATTAGCTCTCTGTCCAAACTGTCTCCCGAGAAGTAACTGTCATCCTTTATGCATTGAAATAAAGTCATCCAGAACTCTGCGCATTCTTTCCTAAGCTGATTCCACACTCGATGCATTGGTTAGCAGTACTCTCCCCAGTAATGATGCTATGCCTACCGCTAAGCCGATCCCAATGGACCCTTAGGAATCTTTGGAAATTGAGTACATGTCCATTCTCCGTCCCAAGATCAGTCTTAACGACAGTTGGGCAGCCACAATATGTTTCGATGGGATTGATGAAAAAACCACTAATAAATTGACGGACTGTTCGTAGTGGCGTTTGCTTCCAACCATATTATTTTTCGGGAGAAACTATCAATACACTCACTGATGCCCACTTCGTATAGCTTGAGTTTGTCATATGCGTCTATGTGCCAAATAAAATTCGGTCCTCGCCCGATGCATCTGCAATGTACAAGCCGGAGCCTTTTCGTAGTGCAACACCCTCTGGATCAAGACGGAGTAACAATCTCCGTACTCTATGTCTCCTACAACGAAACCCTCCTGAAGTAATCTGCAATGCATAAACCTGTGGCCGTGCAGCTGACCAGATTGCTGAAGCTGTTCTTGAAGGAACCTTACAATGTCCGCTAAGTCAGATTGATTCTTCCGACGATACAGTCCAAGATGCCGCAGGTGTCGTTGTAGTGTGGGCTTACTCAGCGCAACTCCATGAATTGTTGCTGAAGTATGAAAATTAACGATAGAGCCACCAGCGAGACTAATGAGCGGGGAATAACTTTGAAAAAGACAAGTTTGACCAGGCCAATTACACGAAATGCAAAATTACATGACGGCTGGAAATTCAAATATGGATATCACTGCGTCATTTTCTCAAGAACAGTTTCTTTTCAACTAAATGATTGAAATAAGATGTTTAAACAATCCAAAACACGACGAGGGGAATTTCAGGAAGTGTACCTTTAACGAGGGGCCCTGCAGGAGGTGGGATGGAAGCGATGGTTGATGTAAGAATATTAACGCAAAACGTTTCCTAATACACCAGGTAATCAGAAATTTCTTTTAAAAAATGTATTACATATTTCAATAAAGGCATGCTTCAGTTAACAAAGACATAGTTAAAACTTATCCAAAGGTAGGAGAGGTAGTCTGGCATGGCCTTCGTAGCCTTTCCATCTAGATTAACTGCTTCTGTTGTTCGATTTAACTAAATGATTGTACGTTTTATGGACTGAAGTATGGCGATATTAACACAGTAGCGTGGTATAACGCCATAATACGGCATTATAACGCTATAGTTTGTGTTATAGCCCCGTAAGAAAAAGGGTCGTGCGCAACGAATTGGCGAATACGAGCCACCGAACTATGGCCAAGCAACTATACCTGGCTTGCTGGGAAAAAAGTGACGGCAATTATTTGCGACCGAAGATTTGGTCGTAAATTTGGTCGCAAATATTGATGTCCTATTGAAGATTGGCGATGTTCCTCTTGGGCCACCATATATATCTCATGTGCTCAGCTCAACGCATATATGCGTACCGTGTACCGAGCTGCAGCTAGCCGTACACAAACAGTGCTAGTGCGCTCTAGTGTATAGCCAGCAGAAATGGGTGGACTGACGGGGCTAGACCTTGGGCTGTTTCCTCCCAACATCGGGGCAGAAAATAAGTGATCCACTGTCAGTTGTATTCAATTAAACCAAGTGCTCAAAACCTCTGTCAAGATGTTTTGGTCAGACTTTTCAAGAAACTATGGGGAAAACGGACAGAGCGACGCGGATGAACCGCGAGCCAGTTCGTCAGCTTCGTTGAGTACTTACGGTAGTGCCCATTCAGATGTGTTGGTTCGTGATGCTGCTGAGTTTGCCACCAAAGCTACACAGTGCGATCGTGCAGGGCAGTATCAAACTGCCATATTCTACTACGCTGTGTGTATATCAAAACGTGATGTTCAATTTATCAAAACTATAAAACCTAGAAGGCAGATGACTGATAAAATTTGTAAAATTGAGAATTTGGGGCATGTGGGGGAGTCACAAATAATAATAACATGTTGGCTTAGGGCCTGAATAAGTATGAGCATGCATTTTTTTTTCAAGTTAAGAAAAGAAGTTCTAGGCCTAAATTAATGTTAGGGCCTAGGTCATCAGGCCAAGGCTATACTTACTAGATACCCCCAGAACTGTGGGATCCTGTGTCCGCCCCACTCCTAATGTGAGAGCAGGGTAGACGTAGGACCGCACAGTTCTGGGGGTAGCGTAAGGCTATTCTATAAGTCGGACATCCGGGAACTTCTGTACATTATTGAATAACACAAAGAATACCTTTGCCGTGCTTAAAAAGTCCATAGTGACATCACGCAGACTGCAAGAATATGCTGCGCTACTACCGTGCCGAACTCAAATAATTCAATTTTTAAAAGTTTGGCATTGCAGTGCATAGCAAAGCTTTAAGTTTTAACAGGATTTGGCTTGGCAAATTGAATTCGGCACAGCAAGCCCTTCAGGCCAACAGTGAATGCTGCGCCATTGTCATTCCAAATGGCAGTGGTGCAACACTATGTAAGTTCAGTGTTTAGTGCAGCTGCCATGCTATTGTCACAGCAGTAGCTCGGTGTCTAGTCTTGGCCTAAGTTACCTGCTTAATACCAAGGGGATTCTCGCTAGGGCTACCGGTACCGTCATGGCCATGGCAATGTTACTAGCTACTGCCACCTCAGTGAGGAATTCGACACACATGTAAATTTTCATCACAATTTCTTGGCAGGGAGACCGTTTAAACATGTTTATTTGTTCTAGAACTATTTTTGACAAGATGAGATAATTTAACCCCTTCGCGCTGGGAAGCGGCAAGACCCACCGTAATAATTGAGATCCTCAGCCTGCTTTTCAGCTATTATTCTCGACCCAAGCTCGAGTGAACACGGTGAAAGAAGGCAGACCCTGGCTCTTGTATATATGGTAATTGGTCTTTGTGTGTTGCCCAGAAATGAAAAGACCGATTTGCATCATAATCACCAGCTTCACGATAGTCCCCACTTTGAAAAGAGGCAACGGGAATGTGGAAGCGTGAGTAGAGCCGCATGCTACCGAACAATCAGCCTTTTCACCGTGTAATTCAAAGCGTGCAGAGCACGCAGGGCCTCCAACCGAGAATTTGCAGTTTGGCAGGTGGCCTTTGTGGCCAAGCGAGGCTGGAATTCTTGGAGTCTGCTTTCGAAAAGAAATTCCCGTCGTCAAGGGGTTAATTGCTCAGCTTGGACAAAGAATGGCAAATTGCTCATATTTTGAATTAAATGTTTTGATGGAAGATGTGTTCCTTGATTTGATTTTAAAACTCAGGGCTGTTGGCAAGCTTTTCATGGCCAATAAAGTAAATTTTGCAGCTGTGCATTTTGCTTTAGCATAAAAATAGTACAAAAATTATTACAATCTGTTTCATACCCTCTTTAAAAATAAGCAAAACTACAGCCTTCTTCCCGTTAAGTGGGATAAGTGTGGATGGTAAGATTTAGAATATCTGTTCAAAGGGTGTTGCAATCTGCCTAGCTCTAGCTTTTAGTAACCTAGCACCTATGCTGTCAATACCTGTAGCCTTACCCACCTGAAGGGAAGATAGCTGTTGTCTTTGGTTGCTTGCTGGAGTGCCTTGGCCTTAGTCCAGATTCAGGCCAGTGGTCTGCGGTTGGTTGCTGGAGTGCCGTAGCCATAGTCTAAATTCAGGCCAGTGGTCTGTGGTTACTTGCTGGAGTGCCTTGGCCTTAGTCTAGATTCAGGCCAGTGGTCTGCGGTTGGTTGCTGGAGTGCCGTAGCCATAGTCTAAATTCAGGCCAGTGGTCTGTGGTTACTTGCTGGAGTGCCTTGGCCTTAGTCTAGATTCAGGCCAGTGGTCTGCGGTTGGTTGCTGGAGTGCCGTAGCCATAGTCTAAATT